AAATTTTGACACTAATCATGTCAACAACAATGATGTAATAAAATGTTATATCGATATGATGCATTGATTGATTTTCATGATGTAAGTTAAGAATATGCTTATTATGAATGTGTTAGCTCCCTGAGCTTGAATGAGTAGTTGACTTGGATTGTTAGTATATAATGATTGCGATGATTGTTCATGTACTGTATTCATGAAACCTTTGGAGGATGTGATGTGATCCTTAAATTTATATGATATCTAGGATGAATGTTAATGTATATAATTCGCCTATGATTGTTCTGTTTGAGCTTATTGCTAGACAATAATGTTTATCTCTCTAAATTGTCATTGACCACTTAGAATGTTAATTTTTTTCTAAAAATGTCTCTTGTTATGATTTAAATGAGAGTTAGCACATGCTTACCATGTTTGTTTCCTCACTCGTTGAGCCTGAGGGAATAATTGTCTTGGGTTAATTGCAGTCTAGTGATGTTTACCATTTTATGTCAGGATTTTATGGAAATGCAAGGAAACTAAGATTTAATTTATATTTAAATCCTGCTCTTCAGTCTAAGGTACATGAGATGAGTTTACACAACACGCGACCTTATGTGTACTAATAATTAATAGAGGAGATTTCACATAATTAGAAGTCTCATTATTTTGTAATATGTCAATAAACACTTTCTTCTATATATTAATGAGGCATTATGTTTTGAGAAGCCATGCTTCTCATAATTTTTACGTATAACAGTACTGATTAGTCACAAAATTGGGTTTGCCCAACAGCGAATTCCTTCTTTGGTTTTGTGGTGGGACTTCAAATCTTGTCACAATACAAGTGTTAATGTTTGATGAATGACATTATGTAGAGAAGATATGTTTCTAGCACATACTATGGCGGTATGAGATGCATTATGTTGAGAATCAATTCTTCTCTCATTAATGATGGTTGTCCACTGCAACTAGATTGTGTTAAGAGGTTTGTTGGGGATGAACCACAATGATGAAACAAGCAAGAAAGTAAAAGCAGCAGAAAATAAGGGACACCGGGATTTAACGTCGAAAAGCTCAAAATAGGAAAAAAAATCATGGAGCTACACCACACCAATAAATCCACTATGAAAATTGGGAGAAACAAGTACAGATCTCTAATCTCTCTCTCTCTCTCTCTCTCTCTCCTTGCTTTTCTTCTCACATGCACTGTTCCCAATGTCTACATACTCAGAAAATACAAGAGAAAGTAAGTTATAACCCCCACGGGACGCAACCAATAAAAAAAAAAGAGAAAAATAACTGTTCAGTCTGTCTCGCAGCAGTGCGGCACTAGTTTGGGGCACTGTGGTGCCCACTCTCTGTTTAACAATGCTGCAGTACTCAAACACTCTGTGTTGTGGCACTCAGTCTCTATCCAGACCCGCTGCGATGTTCTGCTCTCTATAGAGAACACAACGCCGGGACGCTCGGGTAGGCAGTGTTGTGGCATTGTACCGGAAAAAAAAAGTTCATGCAAAGCACCCAAACCCGAGCAGAAGGTACCCCCACACCCCCAGTGTAAACGACAAGCTTTGAGATCCAAGACAACAGAACAAGGTTTGCTTATCAAAATTGATTTATGGATTGTATTGATTGATCGTAAAGATTTTTCCATTAGCAAAACTCAATGTTTTTAAGGATGTCTAATATCACATCGTGCAATTTATTTGTACTGCTGAAGTTGTCATTATCGTAAGCAAAATGAAATTATCCCTTTTGGAAATTCTCATTTTTGTATGTATGAGGGATGGTCAAATTGAATCTCTCATCTTAAAGTTAAGTACAGATGAATTATTAAAAAGCGCAAGACTTTCTGCACTTTTCTCTTCTATGCCCTTTATGATGACTTTCCTTGTGTTTGACCTTCTTTAAAGTTGTATGAGTTGATGTTGGAATGGTTGTTAAAGCAGTGAAGTTATGTGATTACATACCTTAATGTTTTTACATTATAAGATAGTTGATTGTCCCTTTCATCGTATAATGACTAAACTAAATAGTAAAAGTTATCATTTCTATCGGCTATGTTACAAGTTTCAAGGATAAAATTTTATAAAGGGTGATTTGAAAATCATTAAAATTAAAAATTAAATTTAAAATCATTAATGGATGATAAAAAAAATTTTCTAAATCAAATGTCCTAAAAAGGGGCAATTACTTTAATTAATTAATTAAATATAAATAAAATAATTTTGATATGAACACTTGTATGATCAAGTGGATTTGCAAAAATAAATTTTCGTTCATGAATATATACATATATACATACATACATATACATATATTAAGAGAACTGATAGGCATTAGCTAGGCTAGAGTAGGCAACACAGGAGTGAGCAATCCAATGAAAAAGGGGAGTTAAGGGAGTCATTCCTAGGGTCAATCAAAGAGAGAATGAGAGATGAAAATAAAGAAAGAAGATGGGGAGGTTGGAACTTGCAAGTGCCAACCCTTGGCGTGTTAGGTTGACTATAAGAGGCTCAATGGCTAGGGAAAGAGAGAATGAGTTGAAAGAGATCCTCCTCTTCCTTTCATTCAAGATCAAGGTGAATTACGTAAACACTAGATTTCCCATAACTTGGCCTTTTTGCATAATAATATAAACCAGGAAAAAATATATTGTGGATATATGAGAATATATATTTGGTTGAGACTTATTAAGCATGGAGTTCTCATCTAAATGATTATTTCACACATTTCAAGACAATGATTGAGGATTTGAAGTTGTATGGTTGAATCTTAGAATCAGTACTTCATGTTTTGGTGTGCTCTTAAGGTAATTAATAAAGGCATATGGAGTACCTAACACATACTTAGGAACATGATTTATAGTCATATCCAAATTAAGATTAAAATAAGAATTAAGGAATATTTTTAATATAGCATGCATGAATTCATATGATGGATAATTCCTTTAGTTATAGAGTTTGAACCATGCAAACTTGAGAATTTAAGCTCAGGGTTATTTTAAAATGACCAACTATTGATGAAAATACTATAACAGCTCCTTAGCAATTAAAATAGAAAGTCTTATACCATTTAGAGTATTATTTACTCATGTATTTATTTCACACAATATTTTATAGACTTTATGAAGATTATGGATTATATCAAATGGAAATACAATTGTGTATGTAAGAGATCTATATATAACAGCTCCTTAGCAATTAAAATAGAAAGTCTTATGCCATTTAGAGTATTATTTACTCATGTATTTATTTCACACAAGATTTTATAGACTTTATGAAGATTATGGATTATATCAAATGGAAATACAATTGTGTATGTAAGAGATCTATATATATACACAATTGTATTTCCATTTGATATAATCCATAATCTTCATAAAGTCTATAAAATCTTGTGTGAAATAAATACATGAGTAAATAATACTCTAAATGGCATAAGACTTTCTATTTTAATTGCTAAGGAGCTGTTATAGTAAGAAGTCTATGTAACTCACTTATATAGAGACAATCAGGTTATTGAAGTAGCAAAAACATAAATGAATCAGCCTTTTGGTACTAGTTAGGATGATAGAATCGACACTGTAATTGTTTTTTTCCCTTATACCATTAATGTAATATGATTGGACTAGAAAATCTCATATTGAAGTATTCTAATGAAACATGAGGTTTAAATGGTGCTCCTACGATAGATGCATCAGCTATTCACCATGAAGAATATGTTAGGAAATGATATACATTAATTCATGCTCATGCTATCAAAGGTTGACAAATGTATATGCTATAAAATGTCATACCAAAAGTTATAATTATGCCACAATCCATGATTTTGATGTCAATGTTATGATAAATGCTATGATCACTCTATAGTCTACGCTTATAGTATCAATGTTTCTAAATACTGTATGTGATCATGTTACTTCTATGAATATGGTTCCAATGCCATGTCACTTGTTATGATAATGAAATGCCAATTGCTATGTTTATACATAGAAATGCAACACCCAAGCATGTTATATAATTCCTCGTTGATCTTTTTATGCTATAGTTATCAAAATTAAAGTTAAATAAGTACAGAAAATTTTTTGTAGATCTCCATATCATCACATTATTTAAATGATAAATTATTAGCATGCTTATTGCTTCGTATCTCATTGTGTTCATTGTTATTTAGACTGGAGGTTAACCCAATAAGTTATTTATACAGCTCACTTTGATTTATGCTGATGTTGTTTTAGGTAGGTTGATTTAAGGCTAAGGGTGTTAAGAGAGGAATGGTTAAATTAAATACATCCCTAAGTTAAGATTAGTTATGCTTTTGGGTTTTGTTAATATTTAATGGACACAAATTATGTATGATGTGTTATGTAATTATACATGTGATGTATGTATGAAATTATAGGATTGAATATATGGGGACTTTTTTGCTATTATGCTCTAGTAATGATGGATTGGGGAGTGGGTTAAACAATCCCATCAACAGAACAGCCAATTCCCGCCTCAGTTTATCAGATCTCCAGAGCTGGGTCTTGAAACTATAAATCATGTCATTGTGTCCTTGAGGTATCCGGTCTATGTATCAATAATATTTACTTGTAAGATCATAACCTCGTCATAATATCCCAAAAAAAAGGGCATACAATTCCCCTAACATGAGGTCAGAGAAGAGGTTGATTTATCAACATCAAATTTATGATTATTAGAGTATGTTCATATATATCAATGGACTCTAGAAGTTGGTACATCAAACCAAGGCTAACAACGGCACGCACAAAGTAGTAATCTGAAATCTCAAGAACTGTAATAAAACTAGAGTAAAATTTTGTGAAATTCAATTGCCAGCACTTAGCATGCAGTGAATTAAATAAGATGCCAACATCAGTGGGAAAAAAACAAAAATATTTTTGCTAGTAATGAAAGTAGATGTCATGCTAAGACAGTTATTAATTCATTTTAAAACTATTAGCATAAGCTTCCATTTGAAGCATTCTTCCGTGGAGTTGTGAGTTAAAAGCATACCATGCAGATGGGACTCAACACTTCCATTGCGAACAAGTTCATAAACCAGACAGCGTTTATTGCCTTCAATGCATATACCAATCAGTTTGACCAAATTACGATGATGCAGTCTGCTAAGCATTTCTACTTCCCCGATGAATTCTCGGTCACCATTCTGCTCTTTCCTTGTTAGCAGCTTAACAGCAATTTCATCTCCATCCTCCATGATCCCAAGGTAAACACGTCCAAATCCACCTTCACCCAACACTCTCTCAGAACTAAATCTATTAGTTGCTTTCTCCAGCTCAGCTAGTAAAAATGTTTTCACTGAGGATGGGTAAGTAGCCATTGTAGAAACAAGAGACATAGATGTTGAACTTGCAACGCTGCTTTGTATGGTAGTCTTAGCTCCTGTATCACACAAAAAGTATTTTCCAACGGCTTACAATCATTTATTTAATCTAAAGTTAGATAAAATCTATAAATATAAGAATCAATTTCAATATCATGTGAAATCATCAATATAATATGCAGTAAAAGAATCTAGAGAGGGTAAATTTTGAAGTGAATGGGCCATGAAAATGCTCCATTTGAAAATCTTGTCCTCTTTTCATTTTTGAGATTTAACTATATAGAAATAGAAGGGAAAAATCTCATCTAAGAATTCCAAAATAATCTATCCAAAGTAAGGGAAAGAGTAGAAGAGATAAGCATAAAGCAAATAGTATATAACATTAGGATTCTATTTTAAATAGGTCTTTTTCAACTTTTTGACCTATTTTATTCTTTTTGTGAAGAAAAAGTTGTTTTTAATTTAAAAGAGAGGTCAGTTACATCAATCTAATCAATCTAATATCTAATCTAATCCATATATAATGTATTCTTCGATTTAATGATTCTCACCTTAATTAATAGGAAGAACTATTTAAAAATAAAATGGCATATAGTTTTTTTTTGTTTCTCCCTAATATAAAATAAAGTTCTCCTGAATTGTTAATTGAGCATACTCTATTTTTATTTATTCGTTTTCTCCTTTGTTAATAGAGATAATCAATTTATAGAAAGAACTTTTTCTCCCAATTTTATAAGGCTTGGACTAATCTTAAATTAATATAATTTTACTTATTGATCTAATTTCAAATATTGTAACTTTTAAAATGATTATTTAAGTTTTTGGAGCGAGTGGGTGGCTTAACACTGATAATGGCGAATGATCCTATATTGGGATACTTCGTGGTAGCCATCAGCCTAGTAAACCCTAAACCCTAAACCCTAAACCCTAAACCCTGAGAAGATTTTTTTTTTTGGCACTCGCCGTCTTATGGTGAATTCATATGCAATGTTATGGGTGCATTTTATTTTATGAATAAGTTTTTATGTACTATCTTAATAAAATAAATATGATTCGCTCGATTATGAAGGCAATCTGTAATGAGAATGATATTTCGTTTTTGTTTCGCGTTCTTCATCCGTGGTGAATGCTGTCAGAATAATGCTAATTATAGCGAGGGATGAAAATGAGTTTGTTCTGAAGGGTAGACCCTATCCGGAAGAATGTGATTTTGTTCCTTATCCTGAAGGGTTTGTGCCGCCATCATTTAAAAGATTTGAAGCTCTAAAGAATAAGACATATTCATTTAAAAGAGAAGCTATCAAAAAGATCTTTAAAAGCCTTCTCAAGAAAGCAGAATTCAAACTTCCCGAACCAAAAAAGCCAGAAGATGTGGGTAAATCAGGACAACCAAGATATTGCCCATATCATCAAATGATCAGTCATGAGTTAGAGGATTGTATAACTTTCAAGGAATGGCTTGAAAGAAATATCAAAGACGGATTGGTTGTAAGACCCAAAGACTATTTGTTTACCATAGTCAGGGATCCGTTAAATGCATGATTGGTGAGCCTTCTGAATCAATCTCAAAATTAAAATTTGATAATAACTGGGATATAGCTTTACCCCAATCCTCCAAGAAAATTCTAAATAAAATTTATCATTCATCTATTCACGTATCTCAAGGAGTGCAGAGTCCCCCCAGTTGATCTAACAGCTCCTGAAGAAAAAGTTCAGAATAAATTCCTATTGAAGAACCTAAGAAGATATCATCTAGCCAATCTTCAACAGTTCAGAAAGAGGAACTCGAGAATAAAAATAGCAAAGTAAATAATAAAGTAATGGTTTCTTCCAAAGGCAAAGCAAAGAATCTTGTACCTCATTTTACATTGTATAATTTATATTTTGTCCCGTCAGGGGCCAAGAAAGCAATGAAGAAAGATTCATTATATATCTTGTTTATATCTGCTAATGTTCAAACAAATGATGCAACATAAAATAATTTTATAGAACCTAAAATAAACTTAAATGAGTTAAATTAATCTCTTAAATATTTCTCTGATAATGATTCCCATGTCTTTGATACTCAAGATGATCTTATTTGATTAAAAATTGAGAAGTTTTATTATGATAATTCATAAGATGAAGCATTAAAGATAAGTGAATATATTAAATCAAAAGAATCCATGGTCTTTTTCTCTGAAGAGATAGTCCAAATAAATATGTGCAGTAGTAAAGTGTTACCACCATCAATATCTACAACTAGCAAAGGAAAGCAAGTGGCTGATAATCCAAAAACCTCAACACCAATTCAACCAGATTCAGATGTAGCTAATCCAGATATTCCTAAAGTGGATTATGATGTATTAGCACATCTTAGAAAACTGCCAGCAAAACTAAGTATCTATGATACTTTAGTTCTTTCCAAAGAAATGAGGGAGGCTTTAATCAAAGCTTTACTCGATCCAAAGATCTATATAGCTTTGTTAGCATCGATGCAGTTTAAAGAAAAACTGAGTTGCAAAGAAGTCTAAGAAGTTACATTTTCAGACAATGATTTACAGTTTGGAACCTCCAGATCATAATCATATGTTATATATATATATATATATATATATATATATCAATCTCATCTTATCTTTCATTTATTTCTATTAATCATTTATTTTTATAGCTAATAAAATGATATTGCGAGGACTTGATGAAAAAAGTAAGAGGACTTTGGATTCAATTACCTTGCTTTTGGAAGTATAAAATTTAAAAAATCGAAGTCATGTTCCATAAAATTGATTTTGAAACTTCTTTTAATGCTATTTTGAGTAGACCCTATCTACATAAATATAAAATGATGCCTTCCACCCTTCATTAGTGTATCAAATACTCTTATAAGGGAGCAGAGCAATGTATTAAAGGTGATTTGCAACCGTTTTCAATTCATGAAGTCATCATATATGAAGACGCTGCATACAATATGCCTAAAAAGCAAACCGTCTTCTCTAAAAATCTCAAATTGACTGAATAAGCAAAAGAAAGGAAAGAAAGAGAAAAGAAAAAGAAAATGAAAAAAGTAAAGAACTCCGATCTTGAACACGGTGTCCGTTGGTAACCTGCTCCTCACTCACAAAGAGGCGATAGAATGGCTCAACAATCTAGAGGAAGAAGTCGATGATGGCAAAATCGAGTGACAAAAGAAAATGAAAAGAGAAATGTGCAAATAAAGGCGCCTGCAATACATATCGATTTTGAATCTAGTTCAGAGAAGGAATCATATGTGATTGATAAAAAGCCACATGCCTATAGAATATAGGAATAATATAAAACAGTCAAAGTTTAAGATTTCTATAGAAGCTGATAGTGATGAGGACAAGGACCAAGTCACTAGGGAAGCTGATTCAAATCTATCTACTATGGAGAGATTAAAAATGTATGTGAAAAATGTTACCCTTACTCCCTCTCCCAAAGTGATGTAAAAAAGTTAGAGATAAAAGCCTCACTTCCTTTAAACCCAGACACCAAAGCCAACATTTTTGTACCTTCTACTAGTCAAACCATTGAAATTGATGTACCCTTCAATGATCCATTTATGAATGAAATAGTGGAACTCCCTTTTGACTGGCACTCTGTGTAAGCAAGTTTGCCAAGCAAGGTTTAACACCATCAAGTTGGACTAGAGATGAAAATCAACAATTCAAATATTTGTGGAATACAAAATATATATATATATATATGTCAAGACTAGGCATCGGCTTCACTCATTAGTGTTCAATCGGATGTAGATCAAGCCTGTTAAATTTCTATAAACCTTTAAAAAGCTGAAGGACAAACTTCATAAACTTTTAATTGGCATTTGTTGTCAAATCAAAGAGCTGAAAATTACTTCTAATGCAGGGTCCTTTAAGATGAGGATTCGGACAACAATAATCTTATTCAACGGGCATCGTAATTTAATAGTATCAGCTTCATAAAAACAAGCACATCAGGGGGATCAAAGCTAATTTAAGCATTACGGAATTAAAATGGTAACTATCAAGCTAGGATGTCAAGGAAAATGAATAATCTAAACTATTTGTAGCTCATACATATAATGGCATGGCTTTACCATCCCTGCATACTCATGGAATTTGACCTAATAGATTATTTATAGTTGACAAGAAAAAAAAAACAGACTGAAGCTTTTTTGCAGCAAAACTTCCTAGTTATTGATGATCGATATGACGGATAGAAATCTGTTCAGATATCTAAATGTTCAACTATCAAATGCTAAAAGATACACTTTAATTTCCAAAAAAAAAACACTTTTAAATCAACATGACTGTTACAAACAAAATTAGTTATTTGTGTAGAGGTGTTTCAGTTGCAATGGGAGAAAATATAAGTCAATTATGTTAAGCTTTTGCATATATGTTGTGGTAATTTGTTAGACGTCATTTTAACCCAAGCCATCTGAGCTAAAGGATATTCCTGACTCGAAAAATCTAGTGCACATATACATTACCATGCAATTGATGCATATATTTATTCTGAAAATGTAGGTTTCATTTCGAGAGAGAGATGTAAGAAGCTTATGATATTGAGCAAAATTTACCAAATTTGAATTAGGGCAAGGTTAGCTTGTGGGTGAAAACTTCGCAATGAAAAATATCAACATACCAGATCTCTTAGCCAAAGGGGCAACACCAGAACTGCTACTAGTAGGATGCTGTTCCAGCTTCCTCAATTTCAAGATTATTAAAACCACTCCAATGCAGACTGAAATAAGCAAAAAAGAGGAAAGAGAAACTAAAACAATTATCCTATCGTTCATGTTCTCTTTGTTGCCTGCAGGTACCTTTGCTGTAAATGGGTATTGCTGACTTCCCATGGGGCTGATACCCGACAATCCCCAAGGCATGGGTGGTGGAGAGGAAGGAAGCCCTGTTTATATCAAGTAATTAAAACAATATAGGGATGCGATCAATTATGGACATAGCATAAAGAAGATATTTAACAGAATACCTGGATAATGAACAGATATAACTTGGTAATCGCCAAAATTGGATGTGCTTATTCGAACCTTTTTCTGCCAAAACCTTTCATATATAATAAAAGCAGTCATTTTGTCAAATTTTTCACCCAAAGGCACCAGGTAAATTGAAATTGTTGTCTTGTCTTGACTATAGATACTCGCATCAGCACCCATGATTCGAACTTGACTTTGCTTCAGAAATGTACCAGCTGCTACCTCAATTTCAAGTTCTGCTATCTCAGGAAACAGTAAAATCGGAGCTACCCCTACATCAATAACCACTTTTATAGGGTAAACACAACCACAAGGTGAACCGATTGGTGTCCGAGTAAAGGGATCAGAGCATGTTATTCTATCACAATTTTCTGCAGAATAGAGAATAAATTCAATCAAGCATGTCAATTCAGCTCAAGATGAGCAACAGAAAGAACTGCTGCAAATAAAAAGTACTAGATTGGCAACACAAGTTAATAAGCCTTCGATATGGCCAAATCAAATGGAATTTTACCTTTTGGAGGAGAATATGGGGATGGTGAAACTTTATGATGTTTCTTTGCACGGGCATGCCTTTCAGCTTTTCCTGAAACGTGTTAAATTTTCAAATAGAAACTATGAAACAGAGAAATCACCAGTGAAAATAGATCAAATACCACTACCTCTTGGTGGAATTTTTGGTGAAGACTTTGGTGCCCATGGTGCCATGGCCCAATTTTCAGGTACCCTGGATGGAGCCATAGTCAGGCTAACAGGTATTGGTTTCACTGCAAACAGTATCCTGACAAACTTAAAAAGTAGTTTTTGATAATGGATTACAGTTACCCATACATTTATACAGAAAAGAGAGAACTTAGCATTATAGGCATTATTGATATCCTATGCATACAAAAAATAAAGAAGGTTTTTGCGAATTCACCAATGAGACGTGTTTTTCAAAAAAATGAAAAAAAAAACATGAGTTAAATGTGATAAAAGCATATGCATGAAGAATATGGTAGACAAACTCAAATACAAAAGCAGTTTAAAAAAATTGACATCATCTGCAATTACAAATGTTGTTAAGAACATATGTTTTAGTGGGAAAAAGGACTGTTCTGTACTTGGTTGCTCCTTTGATCTGAAGAGAAAGTAAGATTGAAGTCCATATGAAGCAACCCCTGCCAAAAAAAGAAAAAAACTACGTCATATGCTAAAAAATTTCTATTTCTTATATAAAATCAGTAATATAGTTGGTCCCAGATAGAAATTACAGAAACATTGCAATGCAGGAAAACGATGTGAAAGGATTTATTGATCAAGATGGATGTCTTATGTAGAAATAATATTACCAAACCATCACCAAATAGTAAAGGAAAAAGAGTTGACAAAATTAATTGAAACAAAATGAAAGATAAAGAATGATGATGGGGGTTGCATGGTGGGACCTTAAGATCATTAATGTGATCAATTGGTGAATACGGGGCACTATTCTAATATAATTAGAATAGTTAAGATTAATTTTTATAGTGGAATTATTTTTAAGTTGGATGAAATTTGGAGGTAAGTTACAAGCTCTGTAACCTATCTAGAAAATGAAAATCTAACTTTTACCAATTGATTCTCCCTCCATAGATGTTCAAATCTAAAAATTTGGGCTTGATTTCAAGGTGATGTTGTCAAATTTATTTTTGGAAGGTTTGGCAGGCATTGTAAAACCAGCAAAAGCCATTTCAGACTTCGCACGCTTTTCAAAGCGCCGCGACGTACTTTAAGTGAAAAATTCGAAGTTGTCGGATTTCGACGCAAATAATTTTATAAAATAGAGCGCGAAATTTCGATCGATTTGGTATAAAGGACTTATATGTAATCTCGCTTAAATTAGGAGATATAATTGTTGGAAGTTAAGTAATACCCAAACTACCCCTAAGCTTTTAAAATGCCGGAATTACTTAAGTGAGGGCATAAGGGTCTTTTGGCTTTTCCCATTTCTCCCTATTAGGCCAAACCGAGCCCTCCTTCTCCCCCATTCGCACGAACCGAGCGGAACCAAGGGGCGTGAGGCGCGGGTAGGAGCGGCGACGGGTTCTTCGGCGGCGGCTCCGGCGGCGGTTTCCGGCGGCCAAAAGGATTTGGTTATGATTTCGTGAAGAATCAGTAAAAATCAATCATTCTAATTACAAATGGTCAAAGAAATGCCTTAGATGTGATATGAAAGTTTAGAGATTTTTTTATAGCTTTAGTCTTTTTTGGGGAATTTATATGTGACTGAAAAGAAAAAAACAGGATAGAAATAATAAACAGACTTGAAAACTGATTATCTAGGAATTTAACTAGAACTACCTTAAATAAATTTAGGATTATTGTAATATGAGATGTGAACTAATGATCTGGAGAATTTGGTGGAATTTTATTAAGTATTGGTTGGTCAAACATAAAAAAGGAACAAAACTAATCTAATAAAGTAAGATATCTTGGCAAAGTCTAGTAGGTAGGATTAGACTTGGAATAAGAGAGAGAATTAAAATTTAAAATTTTTTATGATGGATTACACACACTTGAACAAAATGATAGAAACTTATTGTAAAAATAAAATGCATAAAATTAAAAACAACGCACCACAGTAAAAAAAACCAAGAAGATTACCCAATCTTCTTGGAATGGCTGGCCATCAAACATTCTAGCCCTTTAGAATTCAATCCAAAATGTGTATGCACAAACAATAATCAATTCATTTAAGTCTTAGAACATTTTATACAAATTGTTGTAATAATTAAGTGCAGAAAATTAAAAACTATTTACCACAATAAGCCAAGAAGATTACCCAATCTCCTTGGAATGGTTGGCCATCAAGTATTCTAGCCCTTTGGAATTAACTCCAAAATGTGTAAGCACAATAATAATCACTTCATTTAAGTCTTAGAATGTTTTATACAAGTAAAACATATATGAAGAGACACATCCCTTCATTTAAATTCAAAAACAAAGAGGGAAAGGAGAGGAGAGAGAGATTGGTCTCTTAATTGAGCTAGCTAGCAATCACCATAACTACTCCCTCCCTCAGTTTGGTTATGCCACCACTCTCTAGCCAATTGCTTGGCTGGCCACATTACTCTCTAGCCACTTAACTCCACACTCCCAAGCACTTTTACACATAAAATAGCTATTTGACACTTAAAGTCCACATAATTCTAAGTCATTATACACATACAATTTTTAAACATGAAAAAAAAATGAAATGATATAAATCATTATAGCTCCTTCATAACTGGAGCTTTATATGCTTTTGCCCTTGATTTGGTGATAGGGTCACCTCCATGTGCTACATTATTTCCATTAGACCCTAAAGAATTTTTCTCTAAAGGGTTAAATATCTAAGTAGTTAGCTGACAGGTTTGGAGCTAGCTTCTCCAAATCCTCATTGGTCAGCCAAGTATCCATCTCACTAGGATCCTATGATCACCACTGATCCTCTTCATATGTGATGATGCGGTCCACTTCAAAAGATGAGTGTCAATTTGGCTCCTACAGAGAATGGTCAGGTGTTCCTGAAAAAGAGGTTTTTGTATATTTGGAAATTGGATAACTGCTTTATATCATATAAGATCTTTCACATTAAAAATTGGGCCGATAAACATATCTTTTGACAATTCAATAGCATATGCATGTGTCAAATTTCCTAATAATCTCAAATGTCCCACATAACCTAACCTATAACTTTCTAAATTACACTGAAAGGATAATTCTCAAGCAGGATTCTTATTGACATGTTATCTCCAACATTAAACTCCTTAAAAGTTTTATTTTTATAGAAAGGATACAAAATGAGTATATAAGTGAATAGGTTGGAGTAGCTCCAGTGGAAAAAGATTGGAGAGTGTCGCCTTAGATGGTTTGGTCATATAAAATGACGGCCTTCCAATGACCCGGTTAGGAAAGTAGATGTATTAGATTTGACTTATGTTAAAAAAGGTAGAGGTAGACCTAAAAAGACTTAGTTAAAAAATATTAGAAATAACCTTTCTTTATTAGATTTAAATGAGAATTTAACTTTTAACAGGGCACAATAGAGAAAAAGGATTCAAGTAGCCGATCACATATGGTGGGATAAAGGGTTGATGTTATTGTTGTTATTGTAGCACAAACTTATTGGCCTGCGCATATTGCTTGTTTTTTATTCAATTATATTCTTATATAATTTGTTGATCATAATTTTCATGTTCAATTTAATGTTCGATGATGCTAAAGAGAAAATATTATGAAGACTATGAAATATCAGAGATGAGAGCTTGAAGCCTTTTAAGATTTATTTATTTATTTTTGCTTTATTATGAAATTTTCTTAAATATTTTAATATTTTCAGTTAGATTTTCTGAAATAGTGTGATGATATACTAAAATAGTGAAATTTATGTTTTTTTTTGCTCTAGTTTTTTTAATTTGAGATTCATTTACTTTATTTATGTTTTATTTTAAGTGTAATTTGATAAGCAAGAGTAATGCATAGCAATTTTATATTTATTTAAGTTTTAATTCATATTTAATTATGTCATTTAAAGAAAAATGTATTAGTTGAAAATATACTTTATCAATAAATTGTAAGTAAAATTCTTTTTAAAAAAATGACATTTATAATTTAAAATCAAGAAATATATTGCAATTTTACATTTACTTAAGTTTTAATTTCATATTTAATTACTTTATTTAAAATGAATAGTTAATGTATCGGTTGACAATATATTTTCTATAAATTGTAAGTAAAATTCTTTAAAAATGACATTTATAATTTATAATGAAGAAATTGAGCTCAATAAACGAGTCAAGCTAAAGCAACCAAGCCGAGTTCGAGCTTGAATTCCTTTTCAAAGTGTCGAGTTCGTGCCCGAGCTCAGTGGAAATTAAACTAGCTCAACTCGATAAGCCGACTACTTGACTCAACTCAACTCAACTCGTTTACACCCTTAATATCACCCTCTCTAGTCATTTGCTTGTTCGACCACATCACTTCTTAACCACTTAATTCCACTCTCCCTAGATCTTTTAGACAAAAATAGCCATTTAACACATAATGTCCACACAATTCTAAGTCTTTATACACAAACAATCCATAAATATAAAATACATTAAAAAATAATATGAAATGATGTAAATCATTATGGCTCCTTTATAGCTTGTGTTTCATATGCTCTTGACTTTGACCTGGTAATAGGGCCACCTCCATATGCTATATCAAATAATTAAAATGGCAAGATGCGAGTCCATCTGGTTCTTTTCAAGCTTTACACATGGAATCAAAGGAATTCACATCCATTGCAAATAATTTTTACTTTTCCACTAATCATGACATAATTGACTTGTCCTAAGAAATCATATTATAGAGCAGGATTCTCTATGACAAGCTGACCAACTCAACAACAAATGTCTAATATAACCATAAAAACAACAAAAGGGCTATGAAGTACAAAAGACATTGAATTCAAAAATAAGCGTTCCTATCAAATCTCCTAGCTGCAATGTTCTCTAACTCGGAGAGTAAAAGTCACAATATACCAGACGTGAGAAGCACGAACTATGAATAAAATTTCAGAAAATTAATGGCAAAGTTGCCTGAAGGAAGCAGCAACGATCTCATCTAGAAGTGATAAATATAGAGATTTGACTCTGATATACTCTTAGTAAAACAAAAAACTCGTATAGACATCAAAATCAAATACAAACTTGAAAAATTCTTCAATTAGGTACAATTATTTATCGTGGAAAGGAAGTCTAATAATAATGTCTATAGACAAGTCCAAGGCATAAACATTGAAACAATGGGTTAAAACAACCTAATCTAAGAAGGCATAGATGCTTTGACAAAATAGTTTCTAGCAAGGAGGAAATATAAATTGTGTAGTACACTATTCAATATCCCTATGTTGTAAAAGATGAAAAAACTAATAATAATAAATTTAAATTATGGGTTGCACTAAAAGTCACCACTAGAGTTTAAGTGATTAAAAGTTGAACATATATATATAGTGTGTGTGTGCGCGCTCGCTCGCAAAACTAGTTGTTAAACACGATTTAGGAGTCAAGTGTTTAAAATAAAATAGTTGTGGGTTTCAATTTAAATTCAAATTTAAAAATAATGGCATGCATGATATGATAGTTAAGTATTAATTAAAATAGTTAGTTCTAAA